TTTTTTATAAATAATTTTTTAAAGAAAAAATACATTTTTTAATAATTGAAGTGAAAGTTTACAGAGACTTAGGGTTTCTATTCATTCATCATTGCCCTTTTCTCCCTGCCCCCATTCACTCTTCTCTTGAAATGTTAGAACTTTTTAACAATTAGAGTCTAATTCTAAAAACATACTATAAATGATCAGAAATTAAAGTGCCCAGTTTTGCCTTAGATAATTCCTGATGAGGCAGTAAAAAAATGATTCCATTTATTATCATTATTAATTAGATTTAAAACCCATTTAACTATGATGAACTTCATGAAATCTTGAACCTGAACGCACAGGGAGTTTTGAGTATGTGATGTGATGATAAAATGTGAAGTATGCATCAAACATTTCTGCTGAATAAGGTCGTGCGGAGGTTGTTGCCAGGAAAACATTTGTGAAATTAAATTGGATGGAGGCTGACTCAACATTTCTGCCCACCTCCCCCAAACTCCATTGTTACTTGAAAGAGTGACTGAGAAACAAACTGTGCTTAGTCAGGCTTGAATTATTTGGCCAACATTTTCCAGAAAATGAATGGAGCGAGTCTGTCACTTTAAGGAAAGAATTTCCAAAATTTGCTAAGTAGGAGGACAGTGGTGTGGTTCAGGGCAGTGGTGGGTCAATGATAGAATTCTTGCCTTCCGTGAGAGAGTCCTGGGTTCAGTTCCCAGCCAGTGCACCTATGTGTAGTCACCACCTAGCTAGCAGTGAAAGTTTGTTTGTTGCTATATTGCTAGGTAGGTTTCAGTGAAACTTGAAAACTAAGATAGGAAGAAAGACCTGAAGATCTGCTTCTAAAAATGAGCCCATGGAAACCTTATGGATCTCAATGGGCTAGTCCACAGCTGATCACGGGGATATCAGCCAATGAAAACCTTATGGATTGCAAGGCTCTAACACCATGGTCTTTGCAATTACATGCTATGCATCAGAAATCTCAACAATGACCAGGGATGATAGAAGGAGGATTGATGCCTTTGAGCTCTGGTGCTGGAGAAGAGTATTGAATATACCATAGACT